CTGGCCCGTCTCTACTAAAAATACCAAAAAAAAAAAAAAAAAAAAAAAGCTGGGCGTGGTGGCACACGCCTGTAATCCCAGCTACTCAGGAGGCTGAGGCAGGATAATTGCTTGAATCCAGTAGGCAGAGTTTGCAGTGAGCCAAGATCGAGCCACTGCACTCCAGTCTGGGTGACAAAGCAAGACTCTGTCTCAAAAAAACAAACCAAAAAACAAACAACACCTCAAAAAGCAAATAGTAACAAACAACAAGAAATAAAACCCACTATCATTCTTCTACCTCAAAAAAGTAAATCTTTTTTCAACTCCACAACTCCCATCCCCAGCCATACCCTCATTTCTTTGTTCCCTTTTACAGCAAAACCCTTCAAAACAGTTGACTGTGCTGCCTCTAATTTTCCTCCTCTAATTCTCTTCATTCAAAGCATCATTGCCAGCACTTCACCTAGACTGTCTTTGTCAAGGTCCTCAATGACCTTCATATTAATAAATACAATGGTCATTGCTCAACCCCGATCTTACCTATGGGCAGCATTTGACATTGTTGATTATTATTCTCTTCCTTAATATAGCTTCTCCTTGGTTCCAGGACCCCACACCCTTCCTTGGTTCCAGGACCCCCACTCCAGTCACTAGTTGCTCTTTCTCAATCTCCTTTATTGATTCCTCCCCTTCTTAGCCACTTCTTAATAATGGAGTAACCCTGGGCTCAGATCATTTCTCTCAATCCATACTCAATTCCCAGTGAGTCATCCAGTTTATAATCTTAAATACCACCTATGTTCTGATGATTTCCAAATTCATATGACCACTTGAAACCTCTCTCCAAGAGTCCAGACTCACATATCCAACTTCCTACTTGTCATCTTCACTTGCATATCAAAATAAATATTTCAAACCCAAACGTGTCCAAAACTAAACTTCTGATCCTTCCACATACACTTGCCCCTTCTACAATCTTCCAATATCAGTCGATGGCCACTCCACCTTCCCTTAGTTGTTCAGATCAAAAACTGTGGATTAATCCATCACTCCTTTCTTTCTCTCATGTGACACATCCTGTTAGTTTAAAAAACCTAGAGAATCACATCTGCAAACAGGGATAGTAGAAAAAGAAACATATAAGTTTTACCTTCAAAATATATTCAATATCCTTTCATTTCTCAGGTTCTCCACTGTGCCTACCCTGATAGATGACACTATCATCTCTGAATTATTTTTATAAGTAATTTTTTTATTTTAAAATATTAATTGACAAAGACCATATATACTCAAAATGTACAACATGATGATTTGGTATATGTACATGTTGTATAATAAATAATCCTTACAACCAAATTAAGTAACACATCTGACATAGTTTGGGTGGTGTTCCCACCCAAATCTCATCTTGAATTGTAATTGGGTCCCTCCCATAATTCCCACATGATGGGAGAGACCCAGTAGAAGGCAATCAAATCATGATGGTGGGTCTTTCCCATGCTGTTCTAGTGATAGTGAATAAGTCTCATGAGATCTGATGGTTTTATAAAGGGGAGTTCCACTGCACAAGCTCTCTTGCCTGCTGCCATGTAAGACGTGACTTTGTTCCTCATTCACCTCATTTGTGAGGCCTCCCCAACCCTCTGGAACTATAAGTCAATTAAATATCTTTCCTTTATAAATTACCCAGTCTTGGGTATGTCTTTATTACCACCATGAAAACAAACTAATATAGTATCTATCACCATCTGTGCTGTATATTAAGTCCCCAGAACTTATAACTGAAACTTTGTACCATTTGACTAGTATCTCCTCACTTCTCCCAGTCTCCCAGCCTTTTGCAACCACCATTATATTCTGCTTCTATGAGTTCAACACTTTTAGATGCCACATATAAGTGAGATCATATAGTATTTGCCATTTTGCACCTGGTTGATTTCACTTAGTATAAAGTTCTCCACTCTTATCCATGTTGTTGCAAGTCAATAACAGAAGAAAAGCAAATAGCCCCATTTAAAAATAGGCAAAGGAACTGAAAAGATATTTTTCCAAAGAAAACATATATAGCAGGTATGAGCATCAGTAATCATCAGAGAAATGGGAATCAAAACCACAATTAGATATCACTTCACATCTGTTAGGATAGCTGTTATCAAAATGACAAGAGATAAGTATTAAGGAAAGTTTAAAGAAAAGGGAACCCACTGTTTACATTCCCACTGTTAGTAGGAATGTAAATTGATACAGTTATGGAAAACAGTATGGAGATTCCTCAAAAAATTAAGAATAGAACCACCATATGATATAACAATCCTACTTCTGGGTACATTTTCAAAGGAAGTGAAATCAGTATCTTGAAGAGATGTGCATTGCCACATGATTTACAATGAACAAGATACAGAATCAACCTAAGTGTCTATCCACAAATGAATAAACAAAATGTAAGTGTTTGGGGGTGTATGTGTGTGTGTGTGTGTGTGTGTGTGTGTGTACATAGTGGAATATTATTCAGCCATCAAAAGAAGAAAAATTTTACTGAATTATTACAAAAGATTCCATATCGGTCTTCCAGCTTCTCTTATTACCCCCTACATATTGGCTTGATATTCTCAACACAGTTGCCATAGCAATTCATTTAAAATATAAGTCAGATTGTATTTTTTGTCTGTTCAAAATCTGAACTGGTGCCACATTTCCTCAGAATAAAAACCAACATCCTTAAATGGTCTAAAGAGCCTAATATAATTTGGTTTTCCCTCATCTTTATGACTCCCTTTTCTTTTTCTATCCTCCTTACTAATTACCCTTGGTCTTCTTTCTGTTAATTAAACATATCAGGTAAATTCTCACCTTAGGGTCTTTGCCCTGGCTTTTCCTTCTTTCTGGAAGTCTCCTCCCCTTCCACTGCTTCACCTCCTTCAATATTACTGCTTCAATTGGTTCTACACTAACCAGCCTATTTATTCTTACAGCTGGCCCTCCATCATCCCATCATTAACAATCCAAATCTTCCTTCCTATGTTCATTTTCTTTTCTTTCTGTCATGGCACTTTTCAATTTTTAATATCAACAATGTATTTATGCTTATTATTCATTGTTTGTTGTCCTTATCTATAGTGTAAACCTCATGAAGGATTCATTTTGTTACCCAGTTTGTCCCAAGCATGCTTAAAATAATGCCCAGTACATAGTAAGTGACTGATTAACACTTATTGAATGAACAGAGAACTGCATAAATGAATAAAATAGACTAATATCCTACTCTCAAGGAGAAGAAATGGCAACCTTCTTTTTTTTAATCTGCTTTCTCAGTCTCCTATTTATATATCAAAGGACTAGCTGGCTGGGAGGAGCAATGGATTCTTTGGTAAGGAGGAATAGATAAATAGAGTTGAAAAAGTTTTTATCGGAATATTTCAGGGTTTTGTTTCTCTGGGTTTTTTGCTTTTTTAATTGACAAGTAAAATTTATATATATTTATGGTGTACAACCTGATGTTTTGATATATATACACATTGTGGAATGGCTAAATTAAGCTGTTTAACATATGCATTAACTCCATGATTATTTTTAATAGTGAGAATAAAAGATTGTAGATTTTAAGAGACTTTCTGTCTTCTTAGTTTGGAAGACTGTGAAATCATGTGCTATTGGGAGATTTTAGGATTTTTGTACTCTCTTTATCAGTCTGATTTTTAGCTCAGTAGTGCTTCAATTTGGAAGGTACCTTCTAAACTAAGTGAACCAGAGGAGCCAGGAATGATTACTCAAAAAATCAGAGGAGAGGGCTGGGTGCGGTGGCTCACACCTATAATCCCAGCACTTTGGGAGGCCGAGGCGGGTGGATAACGAAGTCAAGAGATCGAGAACATCCTGGTCAACATGGTGAAAACCCGTCTCTACTAAAAATACAAAAAATTAGCTGGGCATGGTGGGGCGTGCCTGTAATCCCAGCTACTCAGGAGGCTGAGGCAGGAGAATTGCCTGAACCCAGGAGGCGGAGGTTGCAGTGAGCCGAGATTGCACCATTGCACACCAGCCTGGGCAACAAGAGCGAAACTCCGTCTCAAAAAAAAAAAAAAAAAAAATCAGAGGAGAAAGCAAGCTGCCACAAGAAACTCAAGGGAAACAAGAAAAGAGAACTCAGGGTTCAGCCCGATTCACTAAATTAGGAAAGAGGGCTAAGATTGGAGACCAGTGCTGGGACTAGTAACAAAGATTACATTTCAAGATAGAGATGCAAAAATAATGAACCACAGGTATATTTATTACCTAATGTTATGTAACATACGCCCTCAAAATTCAGTGGCTTAAGACAAGAGTAAGCATTTATTATCTCTCATAGTTTCTGCGATTCAGAAATCCAGAAGCAGCTTGATTGGACAGCTCTGGGTCAGAGCTAATCATGTATTTAGTCAGATGCTGGCTGAGGCTAGAGACATCTGAAGGCTTGACTTGGTTGCAGGGTCTGTTCCCAAGATAGATCACTCATGTAACTAGCAAGTTGTTGCTGTTAGCTGGAGGCCTCAGTTCTTCCCACACAGGGCTAAGATTCAAGACTTCTACACAAGTCAAGAAATACACACACATATGTATATATAGTGAAGTCTGAATATAAATTAGGAACTGAGCTCTTTCTCTCCATATGTATCTACATATGCACAAAAAATATTGTCGGTATTTTGATGAATAGTAAGAGAAGATACATAAGTATAACTGGACTTTTTAGAAAAGTGAAGTCCATTGGGTCTTTTTTTTTTTTTGGCCTAGGGAGCTAATGTAGAAATTCTATTCTCTCTAAATAATTACCCAGGATATCTGTGAAAATATATATATATGTATGTGTGTATATATACACATACAGAGAGAGGAAGAGCTCAGTTCCTAATTTATATTCAGACTTCACTATATGTATATGTGTATATTTCTTGACTTGTATAGAATATGTATTCATGAATAATAAGCTTGACCAAATTTCCTATAGACATAGACGACTTGCATTTGGGAGTATCACTCACCTCTTACTGTATCATTCCTTCAGTAACTCCGTCAACACTGAGCCTTCTAACTCTAACATGCTATGATTCACTACAGTGGAAAAAAAAGCTGATGTCATAAACACATTGTGTTACAGTATCACTAAGGGCCACACCCCATTCTTAGATAATTCCTGAGGTCCTACCAGCCTTGCTAGCCTCAAAGGAGACACTTGGAGTGCAAGGAGACTGAACAAAGTCCTAGAGCTACAGAAATTCTTAGTATATTTTTGACTGTTAATCCTTGGCAAAGAAGTAGAAAGTTTAGAGGTTATCCTTAAAATAATCTATTATTATTTGTGTCTTCCCTGAATATCATGGTACTTTCTCATCACAAATGCTCAGGGGAAATATAATCAGCCAATACATCCCATATCCCTCTTGCCAACATATCTACAGCAAAATGAGACATAAGATCATAATTTCCTCAACTAGCTATCAAGCAGCTACCTCTAACAAACAGCAGTTATCATTAATATTTTCATGCTATTTTCATTTGCGAGGTCTGTAATCCATAAGAACAACCTAATAATGATTAAGTAAAACCAGAGACTTTGTAAACATCTGTATGCTTATATTGTTGCAAATGCTTCAGTATTAAAACATCAATCAAAAGAGTAAAGGTACCCTGATTTAAACTTTTTCTGTATTTGAATGAGAATGTTTCTCTTGGAATACTCTCATATCAGGCTTCCACTTGGCAAAATTATGAATTCGCTGATGTTGTTTTAGAGGCTTTCTCATGTCCCCTTCCCAACATCACTCTTCTCCTCTTTCCATGGACCCCTTTCTGTTACCTAGGAGCCCCTCATGCTGCCTCCCACATTCTGCCAACTGCACAGTCATGTTCTGGACCCCTCAGAATCCCCCCTCTACCACTACAATATGTTTTTCCTAAGACTTACTTGCATTGAAAGGCCTGCCAGGGAAGTAACTAATCTTATCATCTTGTACTAAATGTTAAATTAATCCTCATTCTCTCTAGAATTGTTTTCTAAGCAGGGATTCCTAGAGATGCTATCAACATCTCAGCCTGAAATTGCATAGGTATTCTGGTGAATAGCAAGAGAAAATAACATGAGTATAACTGGATCTTTCAGAAAAGTGAAGTCTATTGGGTCACCTTAGTCTAGGTCAATTGACCTAGGCAATTGACATAGGCATGCTCATCTCCCTGAAATAATCTTCCAGGAGAGGAATGTAACACCAAATAGCAACTGAAGATCCAATGGCTTCCCATTGCACTTGAACTCTATACTCCTTTTTATGATCAAAAGGGCCTGGCTTCTCCCTACCTGTCTCTTCCTTATACATTACACCATTTTCTTTTGTGTGTGAACATGCCAAGCTACCACCTCATTTCTACCTAAGGCCTGCAGTGTTATGTTCCAGTTCTTGGCATGCAAATTATTCTTCATCACTTGTTTCCCAGCACAAATGTCACCTTTCCAGGTCATCTAAAGTAACCTCAAAATCATTTGCTAGCACATTACCTTGTTTTATTTCTTCCTGGTATTAACTACTATGTAAAATTTTGTGGTTCATGTATTTGTCACCCTGCCTCTTCCAGGCCTCCTCCTACTTCATTGTCTATCAAGTTCATCACTGTATCCCTAGTGTTTTACACATAACCTAGTGAACATTCAGTGCTCAATAAATATGTGCTAAATAAACAGATTCATCCAAACACAATCTTTCTACTTAAGTAATTGAGTAAGAAGTCTTTGTTGTACTAATATTGGAAAAGCCAGGGGCAGGGGTGGTAATATCACTATACCCAATGTAACCAGCTTATTTATAAGACTTTTATTAATCATGAACTATGGCATTTTTTCATTAAAAATATTATCAATATTGGATTGTCAAAGATTCCATTTGCCTTTCTGAAAAACTGTCCTTTTGATGAGATGTCACAAATGAATGCTAATGTCCCTTGAGGAATCCTGCCAACAGATCTTACTCTTCTGTCAATGTTAAGAAACTGCATTTCTCTTTGGCCAATTTCTAGGTTTATGGATATGTAGTCTCTCTTGCTAGGACTTCAGAAGCCAATGAGCAAATTGCCTGTCACGAGTTCCGACGAATGATCTTTCCCTGCATACAGTGTAGCTAAGGAGAGAAGCAGCTCTTGTAAGCGAATAACCAACACAGCATGGAATATTGCTAGACCTATAGTGTTTTATCCAGCAAAGTTCACCCTGGTAGCCTGCACCTGCCAATAAAGTCTGGAAATTTTTTCTACCAGGCAGTCCTGGTTTAGTTGGTTGTAGCTTAGAAGCAGACATCTGAGAGCAGTTCAGCAAACCTGCAGTCAGATGCTTTTGTAGAGCTCTCCCCTTAAAAGGCAAAATTAAGGCAAGTCAATAGATTACAACTTTCTGGGTCTGCTTCTGTCATCTATCAGGTATCACAATCGATCATGCTTCACTAAAGTGAAACTCCAAAGATTTGTTTTTAAAGGTGCCTTTCTTTCTGTGAAATACTAAATGAACTTGTTTTTAAAAAAACAAAAACAACTCAACACAAATTGATAGAAACTAAATAACATAACTTTTCCTTTAAGAAAAATATGCAACAGGAGAAAAGCGTATTTTTAAAGTACTACATAACATTTCTTGAAACCACATGTCCTAGGAAAGCTTGATTATTAATCCTTCCAGAGAAACCGTTAACATTTAACATTAACTGCTATTCTTCAGTCATTTCACTACCAAATTAAACTTATTCAAGAAAATCCAAACAATTCCATACTGGCCTACAGAACAAAAACTTTTTGGTGTTTTGAGGAGAGGGGGAAGTACAGGGGAGGTGTCTTTTTCATCAAATCTCTTATACAAGTTTGTTTCATTAATCGGATCTCCTCTGTATCTTTTTTCTGCCAAGATTATTAATTTCAAGGGTAAGATTTTCTCCAGCTACCATGTACTTTAAAACTGTAAAATTTTTTTCCACTCTTCATGGACCATTTACAGTCTGCAAGGTTTGGGGAGGGAATGAAATGTATTCCTGCCAATGGATAGCCACATCAGCAGTGCTGAAAACCAATCCTTCTGTTTCACTCATCGTGCCATATGGCTCCATTAAAAAGGAGTGAACCAAGGCTTATATGCCTTGTCAATCTGGGTTTAGACTAATTCTTTGATATTATGATAAAGAGAGGAAACTGTTTGTAGATGAGTATATTCTCTCTTCTTTCTTTACTCGTGTATCTCTATACCCATGCACTAATTCATTGGGTGGAAAATCAGAGGCTTAAAGCTCCTCTAATTTTACCGGAGCTATAATATTTTTTAAAAAGACGTTGCACTAAAATTGTCATACATAGGTTATCATTTCAACCAAAAGAATCCCAGGTGTTTTCATAGCAATATCTTCTTAAGAATTAAAGATCACGATTTTAAACGCTTTCCAATAAGTGCTTTGAGTACTCCTGAGCAATTAAAAAGCAAGCTGACGCTCCAAGATAAAGTTGTGTCCCCCTAGTGACCTCTAGAGTGGAGCTAAGCTCCCACAAGCCAGACTTGGAAGGAAAAGCAAGAAGCACACCCAAACCTAGAGCGCTGCTGTAGTCCAGGCCAATGTATTCAGTGATACCCTTCACCCCTCAGCTCTCAGCTGAGTTCCTGTCCCTTTTTATATAATCCCAAAGGCGTAGTAAGTCGCTGCCTTCCGGGTCATTGGACCCATTACATTGAAATTAAACTGCGAACGACGCCCCTTCCTCACTACCACCTTCAGGTCCAGCTCCCAGGTGCTCAGCCTTCCTCACCGTGCAGCTGACTTCCACTTCTCTGCATTGCTGCAGACAACCTCTCCGGCTCTGCTAGTCCCCCAGCGAGAGGGAGGGAGCCTGCGAGCTGCGACCTCTGTTAGTCTGCGCTGCGGGCGGGGGCGGCTTGCACCTGCTCCCCGCGCGCGCTCTTCGAGTCCTGTGGACCCCAGGCAGGAAGCCGCCCAGGAGGCTCCCTCCCGAGTCACGCCCCGGACCACGCCGCAATGCTTCAAGTCACCCCAGGGACAAGCTCTCAAGCTCTTCCTTGTCCTCCCCACCATCGCTTCTCCCCACGAACTTTCCAACTTTGGAAGCCCGGGTTCCAAAGGAGCAACAGGGAGACGGCTTAGCCGGAGTGGTTGGGGAGTATGAAGTCGCCTGCAGGGACTCGGCCGGTAACAAGTCCCCTTGACCGTGGGGAAAAGGAGAGGCAGCCAGCTCCAATCTCCTCCTGAGGATGGAGGTTGGGGAAATGGATGCAGAACTTGTCACCCTAGGGACGAAGGGGCGGAGGGAGGGGGGATTGGAAGAAGAGAATAGAAGAGACCATGAAAAACTCTCTTTCTTTCTCTCTGTGACACACACACACACACACACACACACGAGGGGGGAGAGAGAGAGAGAGAGAGAGAGAGAGAGAGAGAGAGAGAGAGAGATGTTCCGGAAAGGACGCGACGCCAGGATCCGAATCGCTTCTCTCCCCCTGCCCAAAGGCAAGGAGGTGCAACAGATAGATACCCAAGCTCGCTGAGTAGCAAAGGTGTAGGGTGAGAGAGGAGTCTCCCGTTTTCCCCAGGTTGCCAAAGGGGCACAAACTCCTGTCGGAGTGTCCCCGGAGGCCAGGGTAGGTGCAGCAGCGCCGCGGTTGTCGCCACCCCCCCACCCCCGACACCGCAAACTCTTCCCCGGCAGGAGCCTTCCACTTGGCAGCGCCTGGATGTAAACAGGCCGGCCCGAGGGGCAGGCGGCGAGCGAGAGACGGGAGGCAGCGAGGGGAGGAGGGAGCGGGACTCACCCTTGATGCTGGGGGGCTTTCTCTTCTGGGCCATCTTCCGCCCCCTTCCCTCCCCCAGAACCCCCACGCGGTTCCTCCGGCTGCTCCCGGGCGAGCCTTCGCCTCTGCTCTCCGTTCAGCGAGCTCTTTGTTGCTGTGATGGCATCCGCGAGGCAGCTGCGGCGGCCGGGCTGCGCGCTCGGCTTGGCTCGGCTCGGCTGGGGCGGGCGCCGCCGCCCCTCCGCTCTCGGCCGCGCCGCGGGCCCCCAGCTCGCGCTGCTGTGGACGCGGTGGCTGCAGCGGCGGGAGCTGCTGTGCTGCTCCTGCTGCTGGAGGGGGCAGCGCTGGGTCCCCGGAGCTCCCGCCCAGCGCTGACCTCCCCCTTCCCCACACTCTCCCTCCCCCACGCCCCCACCCCGGGTGTCCCGTCTGAGCCGCCAGCCCCCATCCAACAGGCGACGGCGCAGTCATCCAGCAGCCGCTATTAGGAAAGACCACGGTGGTGGCGGCTGGGAGCTGCTGGGGGGCGCAGGGAGACCGCGGCCATCTGGGGCGGGGGAGGAGAAAGCCAGGCGGTCTGATGGAGTCCGCGTCCGGCCTGCTAGCCTCCGGCCCTTCCAAGCCCCCTCTCAAAAGGCCAGGACGCGCTGTGCCCGCGAAAGACACCAGTCTTCACAGGCCAACCAGAACTCCGGCCACCTGCGGGAGGACGGTGCGGTCCCGCGCGACCCGGCCGCGGAGCCGTCCTCCACCGCAGCCGCCTCGAGGAGAGCTAGCCCGAATTCCACGCGGGCTATGAGCCCTGAGGCACGCGGTTCCCTCTGCCCCTCCCGAACCGAGAAGGGAAGAGGGGAGAGGGAAACAGGAGGCTGACGGAGAGGAGAGAAATGGAATTCCAGAGGCGGCCCACTGGCAGACACCTGCAAGAATGGCTTTGTTCTGGCCCTGAAGCTCTTACTAGTGAGGGCCCAGGAGAGTTCCCTTGAGGCTGTGGGAAAAGAGGAAAGTAAGTTCACGCTCTCAGGTGTTGGAGGAATTGGGAGCCGGAGGTGTGATTTCTTGGCCTCCAGCAGAAACTTGGTTGCAGTGGCCGCGTTCTTTCTCGCTCTGATTGGGGGTCGCTTTGGAAAGTTTACATTTTTCAGGAGGAGCTGTCCTCCTCTCGCGTGCTGATAAGTGATGAGAAGAAGAAATCCGGCCGGTGTCCCATGACTGCAAGGGCAGGGGAAAGTTTAACAACCTAAAGGAGTAGCGGGTCTTATAAGAATGGCTTAAAGGGTAGGGTAGGAAGGGGTTACCAGAGTGTGCCACTGTGGGGAGAGAATACATAATCGATTTTTTTCATATGCTGTAACTGAGATTACTACCAAAACGCACTTCCTAATTCGCAATGGCCTTCTTAACACTTCTCCTTTCCCCCTCCTAGGTTGGTACAGTTCCCAACCCAATCCGATTGTATAAATGGTGAGTTGATTAAATATCTCCATCCAGTTGTTGTCCCAGTACCAGTGTAGTGCAGCAGAAAGAACAGTGGGATCCAGAACCCCAATTTTGAGTTCTGGCCCTGTAACTTCATAGCTCTGAGAATTTGGACACGTCTTTCAATTTCTCTGCTCTTCTGTTTTCTGATCTGTACAGTATCATCTCTAAAATTCCTGCTCCTGATATTAGTCACAAAATCATCACAAGTTATTTTTTCAGCCTTTCTAAATACAGCTTCATATAATGTAATATACTTAAGTAAATAATCTAGAAACGTGAAATAACCAATTCCTCTCACGATGAAGACGTGCATCAGAAATAAAAAAAGAACATGTTTAATAAGCAAAATAAGCCCATTCTCAGACCAGAAATAAGACTAAGTCAATGTTTTTCTCTTCCAAGAAGCTGCCTCTTATTTAACTAAAAACTACTCTTCCAGGTCTTCAAATGTTTACTGTATATAAATATTAGACTTTGTAAACATTTTTAATCATTTATGTGCTCATATTTTATCACTGACTACTAATTACTGCTTATCGTAAAATAAGGTTTTTCCATTTATTCATTACTTTCACATACTTTATTTCATTTAATCGTGACCACAGCCATGAGTTGAAAAGCGAGTCCTGTCTTCTAGGTTTTACAGATAGTGAAATGGGATTTGTGAAGGTGTGATAACTTGCCCACAACTTCAGTGTAACTCTTCGTTTGTTTGTTTGTTGTTTTAGATAGAGTCACACTCTGTGCCTGAGAGTCTGGAGTGCAGTGGTGCAATCTCTTCTCACTGCAACCTCTGCCTCCTAGGTTCAAGCAATTCTCGTGCCTCGGCCTCCCAAGTAGCTAGGATTACAGGCACCGGCCATCACACCTGGCTAAATTTTGTATTTTAGTAGAGAAGGGGTTTCACCACATTGGCCAGGTCGGTCTCAAACTCCTGACATCAGGTGACGTCAGAAGGAAGGAAGGAAAGAAAGAAAAAAGGAAGGAAGGAAGGAAGGAAGGAAGGAAGGAAGGAAGGAAGGAGGGAGGGAGGGAGGGAGGGAGGGAGGAAGGGAGGGAAGGAAGGAAGGAAGGAAGGAAGGAAGGAGAGAAAGAGAAAGAAAGAAAGGAAGGAAGGGAAGGGAAGAAAGGAAAGGCGCCATAAAAATCCAGTATTATGATTGTATGGGACCACTGTCACATATTCAGTCTGTCATTAACCGAAATATCATTATTCAGCGTGTTACTGTATAGTTGTACTTGAGTGAGGGAAGGGGACTGTAGAGAACTGAGAGAGCATGTACCTCTCTAGTCAGCTGCAGGATGCCTGTGGGAATGAAAACCTCAAGGGTGCAAGAATTCTGATTTTTCAGGAGCCAGGAATCCAGATTTTTGGTGAAATATTCTTTGTGATGTTGATTCATACATAAAACAAAAACAGGGTAGGCCTAACAGAACATATCTGCCAATAATATGTAGACTATGAGCTATGTGTCTGTGTATCTGTTTTTAAATTTCATCAATTGCTTTTTACCTCAGACAGCAAGCACTGAACCAATTTCTTGAGTATGATTCTAATTCTGATGTCATGTACATGTCCCTAGAATTAGAGATTATCAAGGCACTGGGTGCAATTAATTATGATTTATAAAAATGATTTGTGGAATAGGCATTTCTAAATTTCTGGCTGTTATACTTTAAGTTCTGGGATACATATGAGAACGTGCAGGTTTGTTACATAGGTATACATGTGTCATGGTGGTTTGCTGCACCCATCAACCCATCATCTACATTAGGTATTTCTCCTAATGCTATCCCTCCCCTAACCCCCTATCCCCTGCTATCTCTCCCCTAGCCCCCAATCTGCTGACAGGCTCCGGTGTGTGTTGTTCTCCTCCCTGTGTCTGTGTGTTTTCATTGTTCAACTCCCACTTATGAATGAGAATATGTGGTGTTTGGTTTTCTGTTCTTGTGTCAGTTTGCTGAAAATTATGGTTTCCAGCTTCATCCATGCCCCTGCAAAGGACATGAACTCATCCTTTTTTATGGCTACATAGTAATCCATGGTATATATGTGCCACATTTTCTTTATCCAGTTTATCATTGATGGGCATTTGGGTTGGTTCCAAGTCCTTGGCTATTGTGAACAGTACTGCAATAAACATAAGTGTGCGTGTGTCTTTCCAGTAGAGTGATTTATAATCCTTTGGATATATACTCAGTAATGGGATTGCTGGGTCAAATGGTATTTCTGTTTCTAGATCCTTGAGGAATAACTGCACTGTCTTCCACAATGGTTGAACTCATTTTCATTCTCACCAACAGTGTAAAAGTGTTTCTATTTCTCCACATCATCTCCAGCATCTGTTGCTTCCTGACTTTTTAATGATTGCCATTCTAACTGGTTGTGAGATGATATTTCATTGTGGTTTTGATTTGCATTTCTCTAGTAACCAGTCATGATGAGCTTTTTTTTCATATGTTTGTTGACTGAATAAATGTCTTCTTCTGGGAAAAATCTGTTCATATCCTTCACCCACTTTTTGATGGCGTTGTTTTTTTCTTGTAAATTTGTTTAAGTTCCTTATAGATTCTGGATATTAGCCCTTTGGCAGCTGGGTAGATTGCAAAAATTTTCTCCCTTTCTGTAGGTTGCCTGTTCACTCTAATGGTAGTTTCTTTTGCTGTGCAGAAGCTTTTTAGTTTAATTAGATGCGATTTGTCAATTTTGGCTTTTGTTGCCATGGCTTTTGGTGTTTTAGTCCTGAAGTCTTTGCCCATGACTATGTCCTGAATGGTACTGCCTAGAGCGTTTTTATGGTTTTAGGTCTTACATTTAAGTCTTTAATCCATCTCGAGTTAATTTTTGTATAAGATATAAGGAAGGGGTCCAGTTTCAGTTTTCTGCACAAGGCTAGAATTTCTGGCCATTCTTTAAGCCATCAATGAGAATGATCACAGTAGATCCAATAATTTTTAAGTCACATTTGGTTCTTCTGGGCACAAAGACACTTATACATTTTTTCTGATAGTGATAACAAAGTTTTGACAATATAGATGATGACAAGGACAAAACTGGTCTAATCTCTATGTTTTTATAGAATGATACTGAATAAACCCTTTTGAAAAGTAGACAAAGAACTAAAATGGTAACATTAGTTATATGTAGTATAATCATTATTGTTAGATTATTCTAGCCATGTCAAGACTACCCATAAAGTAAGAAATAGTCAGAATAAGGAAAGGAATACATGTTCCTACGTGGAAGTATTAAGTAAGCTCAACAGGATAAATGAACTTAGATAAATTATACTAAAGACCAAAATGAAAATATAATTCATAGTACACAAAGCATGATTCCCATTAATGTATGTTAGTGCAATTGCAGTGAAAAGGTAGAAAAATATGACCCACAGAAGAGTATTTTTGGCTGA